AGCTTCACTTTGAAGGTATTCCTTGATCGCTAAGACGAGATGCTCGTAAAGCTCACTCAATCCTGAGGAAGAGTCGTGGCGCATCTTACATTGCGAAAGAGGAGTAGGTTGTCGAAAAGAAGGCGAAGACGGGTTGAGAGGGAGCGGGAAAGAGCGAGGCCCGGATCTGTATTCTTGGTTATACTCCAGGTCCTTCACGCTGGCGTCGCGCATTGCAAACCTACCGCTTCAGTCTCACGCACGCTCTACGACGCTGTGCGTGTCAGTTGATACTGCAACGCGCGGAGTCGTGAAGCCACTGCATGCCAGTCTTGGCGAGAGCGTGTTGGTCAATCTGTCCAGCCAAGGGAGTGCAAATTGGCGATGGGTAGACGATAACAGCTAGAGCATGATTGTAAGCAACACGCACTATCATAACTCGCTGTGATTGATTGTAACACGCATGTTGGTGTAGCGGCGCGTTGGCTCGGGAAGTGAACTGCAAATACGCATCCTTCCAAAGCAACCATGCCAGTGGCTGAGCTACCCTTCACAGCAATGTTGACTACGCTCGCGCAATGTGAGCAAGTAGAGCTGCTGGCGCCGTAGGCAAGTGTTCTTGGAGCGAGGGCTTGAGGGTAGGAGCACACTTGCGCACGAAAGCCCTCTCATCGAGTCGACACAGTGCACCTTGCGCCGACTTCGAGCAGAGCACTATAGCCGCGCTAACGTCGAGCAAGTGGTAAGCGCGTCGGATGTGATCATGGAACTGGCGCGCAGAGAACGGTGAAGAGGGTGCGTCGAACTAGTGGCTGACGTTGATGGTCGCAGGGCTGGAAAACTTCAATAGGAAGGTGTCTATTCCAAGCATAACCTGCGGGCTCCTGTAGATGCAGTTTTACTGTATGGTAAGAGGTTAGTGCCAGGTTACGCAACCGAGGTTGGGCATACAATTTAGACCCCAACCCAACAGGCCCGACAATGCGAACGATATCCGAATATCCGAGCTCCCGCGTTCTCCTTCATTCGATTCATCTCGGCTTTTTCTCGCATGTGTGACTGTTAAATCTGGTCAACAGGCTTGAGAGTCGGCGCGATGGAAGATGGTGCACACCTTTGACGGCTCTCAAGTCTCGTGCTACATCCTCATCCAACGACGCACACCCACCCGATTTTCTTGGCATTCGAGCGGGCTTGGGCCAAATGAGCATGGTATCGCTGGCAGGAAACGTTTAGCGACACGATTCATCGTCCTGACTGACGCACACCATTCGTATCCTGAAGCAGCGTCCGATTGTCATTAAAAGGTCACTGCCTCCACTGCGGAAAGGATAGAAAACTCACCCTTAGGTCTGTGGCTCAGTGTCGCTTGATGTATCGGTGAGTGTCGGGGTGGTTGGGATACACGTTGACGTGAGCTTAGGCGAGCTTCGAGTTTCCGAGGACACTGCGACGCCGTTACCTGGCATAACCGTCGAAATCGGCCCGAGATCAATCTCCATTGCTCTCGCTAGCGTGCTGTTGCTTTGCTGAGCGACTTCAAAGACCAGGAGGCGGTGTGGGGGCAGCATCTCGGGTGAAACCCCGGGTGCTTGCCTGCTTTGCTCTTGCTGTGATCGTTTTTAGCTGAAGATTACCAACAAGCCATTCCGCACGTGCAAGACCTGAAGTCGCTACTTGAGTAAGCAAAAAAGTCGACGCTGCAGACCAAGGTCGCATCGGACATGGTTCAACACGGTTCAAGCACCACTGCTCCCGGAATCCTTTCTCGTCAGCGCAGGGATTACCGCACATATTGCCGTGTGTCCTTGTCTTTTTTTTCTTTCTCTCCGGCCCTCGTCAACGTTCTTGTTATCTCTTCAACACCTTGTCATATCCTCAACGTTGAGATGCTCCAGCGCCAGCTTTATATGCTTCCACCGTCCGCATCCCTTCAATATCCTTTCAGACGGCATTCTCGCTCGAACATTCTGCCAGAGTCGGCGTGAGTGTCCGAAAAATCTGATGCCTACGGCGGCGGCGGCGGGTCTAATGTTTTTGTGATGCCGCGCGATAGGATCTGCAGCTGTCGCATCGTGTAGAAGAAGCACACGATCGAAGGTGGGCTCGTAGCGAGCCAGGCACTCATCCGACCGAGCTACTCGGTTGCGAAAGCCCCGATCGCGGTTCGGAGTCGACGGGGCTCCAACTCCCACAAACCGGCCTCCGGGCGCCGCACCCCTCACTCTCTGACACATATTCATCAGCAAACCCGCTGATCCACACCCTGCCCTTGAAGTCGCATTGTTTCACGGCTAGCGTCACGCGCTGACCGGAGGTCGCCAGCAATTATTGGCGTTTCCATCTGCGACGGCACTCCTCGCATCAGGATAAGCGACCCAGGCTCATCTGCTCTTCAACGCCGCTCACGCCTCCTTCGCTTGCTTGCTTTCAGTCACCGCGCGTGCTGTTCGCACTGCCAAGATCCGACTAGTGCGTACATCACCCTTGCTCCGTCTACCATCACCCTGTCCCCGTCCAGCTTTGTTACGTCCGCTTCTCTTAATAAAACTCGTGAGCAATTTTTTTTTTTTTTTAGAAAGGAGGAAAAACTCTTTGAACCGACCTGCTGCCGCCGCTGCTCTTGATGTTCACGCTGCCCGTGCGCTAGCTATAGCACGATAGGCGCTGATAAACTAAGCCAGACCATCGTCCCTCATGTTCACTGTGCTCGACGAGCTACTCCACTCGACCGAAGCTCATAGTGCCTTTGGCCGTACCACGCACGCAATGTGACATTGGCTGTGGTTTTCGACGAACGCGACCCTTTCCTGGTTTCTTTACTAAGCCTCTGAGGCGCACTGCACGTTCGACGCAACGCCTTTTGGAGCTTGAGGCAGGTGTCTTGCACCTTAAACTGCTTGCGGTTGCGCGTCTTGGCACTCTTGAACTTGAGGCAGACAGGTTGCACGTTTGAAGTATAGTGCCTTGAGGCAGGCAGGCTTAGGGTTAAACGACTTAGTGCAGCCGTATTAAAGCTTGAATCCTGGACCGCTTGAGGTTTTGTTGCTCTTGAAGCAGGCATCAGGTGGACGCGCGTGCGAACGATTGGAGAGGCAACAATGATTGTGCGGGATGGATGATACAATGTTTCGAGATACATTGATATGTAGACCGTACAGATTAAGCCACGGTAGCAACATTTACTGGTGGGTCATAGCAGTACAGAACGAGTGAACGGATGACAAGTCAGTAAAATGTGGCTGGCCAAAAGACCAAGGGACAGGTAATGCAACGGTTTAGAACAGTGTGCAGAAATAGGCTTGTGAAAGGAGGAGGAAGAAGAAAGGTTGAAAGAAAGGTGGTGACGGAAGTGGAGTGGACACTGGTGGCAGGAGGACAAGCAGTGCACTCGCACCGCCGCGGTATCAAAATCTGTTAGTTGCACGTGCATCATCTTTTTTCGAATTTTCTTAGAAGCAAAGGCCCCATTATCGTTTTGCAATGTCTCGCGAAATTTCCGCCTTCACCGGCCTTCAGTTTCAAGTTTAGCTGAGCCTACTTCGCCAGTTTCCCACCATGTGCAAACTCAACTCTCGTACCTGCTTTTATTTTCAGGCTCACCGCGGCCAAAAATCTTGGCCAACCCATGAGCGGGATGCTCCTGCGCAGGCCATGGAGGTGCAACTCGTGCAGCGTCAAGTTTACGGTTCGGCTCGTAATGGCAGCAATCGAGCCTGCGAGATCGCGAACAGAAGTCCTTCGTCTTCCAGTCAGTTCTCCCATCCTCTCACCCCGGTTATACCTCTCTCGCATTCTCTGCTTCCCTATTATTCATATAGCCGCGCTTACTGGGATAATTTCCTGATTTGCAAGTGTCCTCTATATTGATGTGATGCTGTCTGATAGTCTTCATACTAAGGAAGCGTCCGGTAGTAGAACTTCACATCCTCATACCAGTCCGTCGGTGTCACTTTACTACATCTCTATAGCTATATAGTTGCACCCGACTCAATTTCAACTGTCGCACTGATGTAACTGCGTAATAGTGGGTTGTAATGTCCTTCTCGACATTCGACACCTGACTCGGAACGTCATTATGAACGGCATAGGATCGGTGACTTATATGGAGCGTTTAGTTTCCCTACGGTATAACTGACTAGATGCGAGAAGGAGGTAGAAGAATCAATGTATGGTCGAACAGTATTTTCAGTGGATACCATTCTTCAAAGGGTTCATTGACGGCGAGCGGCCTGAATAATAGATATTGTAGGTTTTCGTATGAACGCACAACGGCATGTCACTGATCTTGGAATGTCTGCCTGTTTACAGCGGGAGCACTAGACAAGGGCTCGACGAGGGCTCGATAAGCTTTCAAACACTGTAGCGATTCAAAGCTGAACCAGACGTGTCGGCTCGTGCTGTATTCAAGGTGACAGCCTCTACCGTTACAAAAATGTCGTGCCTTATGACCGCTGGTTGCAAAACAGCCTTCAAAATATCTGTCTCATACTCCAGATCTGCCAACTCCCGCCGTCACAAGGTGCACCGCTGCGCGCTGATGCTTTTTACATCAATATCCAGCACATTCACTCGGTTCAAATCCGGATTCGTCCATACGTTTTTGGTTCTATGATCTCCTCGTTAAGCCCACGGGCCCAGCGAACCGTCATCGAAATCCGGGATTGAACCCACAATTGGTCCATACATATCCCTGCCTCCTGTCCCTGACCAGGAAAACAGATTTAGACTGACAGATCTATTGTTTGAGTTCACCTTTGCTAGTTTATCTCCGGCCTTGACGACATTTTTCCTTGTCATATCCTTAAAGTCGCAGCGGCTCAGTTTTGAGCTAGTGCTATACATTTGCAGATGTTCCACATGCCACCTTGGACACAGGAACGGAGTACGAAAATGATAACTCATACACAAGAGTTGATCAAGCAAAATCCAACTGAGAAAATGACAAACCTGTTCTCGCTCGGAGGTGGTGCGAGACCTTGCGATCCAAAACGCGACGATAAAATGGTATGACAAAAGAATGGACGAATTGGGATTTGAACCCAAGACCTCCTGTATGCTAAACAGGCGCGCTACCAACTGCGCTATACGCCCAGGACAACGAGGCTTCACTGAATAACATTCTGACTAGCCTGTGACCGGTACTCTCATTTAGCTGTCGGATCTTCACCTTCAAATCCACGAAGGTAAAAGTATGTTCCGGGTACACTGAAAGTAGCCTGCCAGGACGTGACTTCGCGTAACATGAGAACGCATCCCTGCCTGTACTAAGGTCGAAGTTCTTTCCGCTTGACATCTGGCCGGGATATTATGGACAGACGACACGTGACCAATGTCGACCCAGCCATACTGGGACTATGTCAGCCATAATTCGCGTCGTACGTTGTATACGATAACCTTGCGAGTCAAGCGCGGCGGCCTGGAAGGCCCATGCCATGACATGGAATCAGGAAGCCGTGGGAACGGTGCGCGGCCGAGCACAGGGTCCAAGGCCATGCATATCTCTGCCAAACCGGAGATCCTGTCCTCACTTTCGACTGTCGTCAGTCCACAACCTCGTCTATGCCACCAAAGTCGTCCAGCACAGGCGAGACGGTCTAGAGGATGACTTTGATCTCGAAGGTCCTGATAGTGTTCGAAGGCATGTCGGTCTGCTCGAAGGCGAACGTTGGTCGAACGTATCGTACAAGACGTCAAGTTGAGTTAAACTTGCCGATTGTACCCTGGCGCGCAGTGCGCCATATTAACTCAAGAAACTTGGAGCGTCGATCAGGTGCCGTTTTCATGAAGACTGCTGTTAGCGTCGGTCTTCTGCAGCCAGGTGAAAGACACGAGTATTCCGAAGTACGAAACGTTTACCACGGTTGATTGTCTACTGCTAATGCATGAGTCGCTCTCTGGCTGATGTCGCAGAAGGAGGTGAAGTGCCCAGGTTTATGTGACTGCTCGCGGCGTCGGGTTCGATCTCGATGTCGACCCGACTCACCCGAGATGTCGTCAACTGTAGCCTCATCCAACACGATTGTGGCAGCTTTAGCACTCTGCCGCGATGGATAAGAGGCAAACATTCTTTGAATGGTGCGTGAAGCTTGACGACTTGGTTTCCGCTTTAAACCTCTGTAGTCGCTAAAAGGCGGTGCAGCAACGTGAGCAGTAGAAATCGCGTGTTGGCCTTGCCAAGCGAGGTAAAACAGTAGCCCGCCACTCCGCAGCTGTCCATATGGGAAATCTGGACATTGTCAGCCACACGTGAAGTCGCCGTCTCGAGTACGCACCAACTCCGGTCTTGTAAGAATCATCGCACAGCCGGGCCAAAGTTCTGAGTTGAAGCTCTCGCGTCATCACTGACGAACCGTAGTCATCCTGCAAGAGATTCATTTCGCACTGCGAAAGGTTTCAGCGCATGCGGCAGGTGACACTGGCAAGTTGGGCTGTGATGAGGTTGATCCATACATCACTGCGCGCGAGCTTGCTATGCTGCCACGGCTTTCGGCGCTCCTTATACTGTCTATTCACAAGGGGGAAGCCTTATGAATGCGTTAATATCGTTAAAAACGTCTCAGTAAAGCCCACTATCTGCCTACCGACTACACGCACCGCATTTTCCAGCAACAACACATCTGTACAGCCCTACGTGAACTGACTGTTTCTTCATGCTCGCCTCGATAACATGCGGCTCTGGGTCTACCTGGAAAGACAATGGCTCCTACGGCATTGGAGGGATGTGGGCCGACCGCGCGCGTAGACAAGATGGTGAGCTGGAATAGACATAACGACCCATCGTTCAGGTCAGTATAACAGATTCTTCGGGTACTAGAAAGACCTGCGTGGAGTCAAAGACTCACCGGCGATCTATAATTTAGCTATCCTTAGGCACGACGAAAGGCCGCCTTTCGACGTGTCTTGTCAACCTGGGTGAACCCCAATTGTAGTGATCGTGGCCCAACGTTCTCTGCACTGCACCTCGACAGACCTTCAGACTCCTCAGAAGGTTCTTTAATGCAAACAGGGCTGTTGCTGGGACTTCAGTACGGACCGAAAAGTCGTTGCAGTGAGAGGTTAGGTTGAAACCTCTCTGCACGCAGCCAAGACGAACTGCTTCCAACCCGCGCGTTTGCCTGGTGGATGAACCTGCTTCAGTCCCTGCGATACGATCTCGCCTTTTTAGGGCACTCGAGGTCTACCTTCAGCAATCACTCTGAGGTGCATATAGCCACGAGTCAAACCGGAGAATTCGCGAGCATATGTGGTCCCCTAGCTCATCGTGGTTATGCTCATACACACTCGCCCAACGCCACACGCATTCTCCGTTGTTTTGGGTAACCTTGAACGGTTCAACTTTCATCGGTCGGTGGAACGGTGACTTGCGAGATATGATTCCTGTCACTTCCTGACAGACGCCTGCCCTCCCCCGACAACGGCATAAAGGATGTGTACAAATTCACGGAACCGAAAACGAGCTCGGTGCCGACCTACCGAGTCGCTCGGTGGAATGAAGGAGTGCGGCGCCCGTAAACAGTAGCCCTTTCACACGTCGTCGCACCAGTTGGCATTTGTGTGCTCTCAACCCGATCTCCGCCCCGGTGCAATATTGCGCCGTCTCAGATTGCCGCTACTTCCGCCCGCGGCGCAAATATTAACCTTGTGCATGCCACATTCCCATGCTCGCTTCGGCTAGCAGGTTTACGCTCGCCTCCTGCCTCGGTCAGGATCAAGCTTCCTCAGCTGACTGCGCGCTCTTTCGCGCTAACAGGTTTCTGAGGGCCACACGCCCGCCTTCGCTCCTTCCGCCTTCTTAGCTGCTCGGTCCCACACAAACTTGGGCTCCGATTCTGAATTACGTCCGTTCTGCACAATAGCATGAGAATTTTTGGGCCCTGTCGCCAAACTTGACCGAGATGCACTGACCTTCGTTTTTTTAGTGATGCTGTTGGTCCGCCGACGTTATCGCTTTCCGCATCGACGGACCGGGAATCGTTTTTGGCTTTGACCACACGAACGGGAATGTCGTGTCAGACCTTGATCGAATTCGGGTGATGCACACGATTGCCCGCTTATTCACGGCAGCTCATCCCGCTCAAACGAATGCTCACGTCTTGAGGTGGGTCGGACTGGAAAATATGTCGTCCAGTCGCGTCACACAAATTTTCGGGAGGTACCCGTACTGCTTGAGGTGGCCAAAATGCTGGCGCGGATAGGGGAGCTCTTGTGTGCTTAAAGCGAGAGCCTTGTACTTTGAAGAACCTGGGGCAGGAATTGAGGAGCTTGTAGCAGACTTCAGAGCGCGTAGGGTATCAAGATCACGGTCATTCGTTACGACGGTACATAGCTTCATACTACGGGATTACCAGGTGGATAAGTAAAGGGAGAGCAAGGTCGCGATTACAGCGAATAAATCAATCGAAGTCCCGGTCTACAGTAGTAATGGAAGGTGAGCGCGGTTGCGTGATTTTAAGGCGCCGGAAAGTGAGAGGAAGATACATATGGGATGTGCACGTAGTAAGCAGGATGCAGAAGGCGGGATGCTTCAATCAGCGAGAGGAGAACAATGTGACTGTGATGGCGAGAGGACAAAGGCGCGCCTGCTGTGCCTTGCTTCGCGGGATCAAATTTGGCGCATCTTCACTTCCAGGCAACCACCAGAGCATCAGGTCAACAGCAAACCAATAAATTTCGTATTGATTCAAGTCTCTTCATGCGGAAACAAGAAAAATATTAGCTTCAAGTGCGTGGCGGTAAGCTGCTGGTGGTGCCGACGGCGAGCATCAGGAAAACCCGTCATTGGTAATGAACGAGCAGAACCCTGGAGGTACCTTGCTTTGCCGCTCTGCTCGCCTTTTGACCGCTTTGACCGCTTATGACCGCTCACAAGCGCTCTACAGCAAGGTACCCCAATTTGCCGCGTTTTCCTGATGCTACTGCTACAAATCGCTTCTTCCTTGCTTGAACCTCGTGTAATAGTGTTAGCTGTGGAAGCCTACCACACAGGTCAGTTACACGTCTTCTCCGTGCTTGAGATACCTCTGACGATATGTTCATCCGTGTCTTCTGGAAGGAATAAATTGTGTTCAGTTTATCGTGCTAATATTAATATGATAGGCAATTAAGCCTAACATACAAAGAATTCTCTGGGAGAAGTGTAATGTTTCGATGGGAAGATATTGATTTACAAGCAATAGGATGCGGATGAAGCGTGCGTCAGCCCCAAGTCTGCTGTTGCGATACGTTCAGAGCCTACGACACCACCAAAATGCCAGGAGCCATAATATGTGAATGTATTCAGCAACGATTGATAAGATTGCTTTCGGTCTAGGACAAGTTCGGGGCTGGTCCTCTGTCGCTTGCATGCATCTCCCTTCTTCTCCCATTCCTTCGTTGAAAGCTCAAAGAAGAGTGATCTGGCGCTAACAATGAGTTAGGGTGGACGTCAATTCTGCTGCGGAAGATCTGCATTCCTCAGGTGACGTTGATCTTATTGCGTGAGGCAGCTCTCATTGTAAGACGGGCTACGAAGCACAGTGTTACATAATATGGAGGCTATTGGAAAATGAAGGCGTGCTCACTGTGATTTCAGATCTGTTGTCCGAGATTGTCGGCGCTGCCGTAGTAAGTTATCCTAACGCTGCTAAATAGTGCCCACCGTTCTGCTAACGATAAATTGTCATCTGATCGTCTTGAACTATCCCCAATACGTCTGCTATGGATCCCGCCCTACTCCATGATTATCGGTCTACAATCATATGCTTTATCCTAGCTGATACGTGGGTTGAAATTATGTAGTGCAGTTGACTGAAAGTCGATATATAATTCTGCTAGCAAAGCTCTGTTAGCAAACTGGTGCGTGTCACCCTTCAAGAGCATCAATGCTGTCCGCTTGCGCGTACCCGCAGTAAGCATTATGACATCTTAGTTCCGAAGCCACGGAGGTAAAAACACGCGACTTCTGCTCACATGTACATGGGCAGAAGATGAGACTCGATATCATTCTACACCTTATCCAATCCAGCGCATGGGCTCGCGCGCTGGACGGCGAGAGCGCGGGTGTGCGTGTGTGACGGAAAACCGGGCGCCGCGCAACCGCGTCAGCCCTTCGG